GAAGTGATTCAGTGAGGACCAGTTGGAAGGTTCTTCTGTATATGTTTGATCTCGCATCTATCTAGATCTTGCATATCTAAGCTAGAAAAGCGGCCGCAGAGTGCAGAGCTCCGCCAAGAAGCACAATTCTACGTTCAAGAGGCAATTCAAAGTTCTTCTTAAAATTGCCTCTCAGACCAATGGAGCTTGCATAGTGTAATCAATGGCTCCATGTGCTTTCCCACAGGCTTTTGCTTGGCTTTTCTTTAATTACGTAAGGTGTGCATAAGGTGATCATTAAAAAAATAGTAGGTATCGCACATTTCAGAGACATGTTTGTATTGCACACTCTGCATACAGAATATTGTGGTCTAAAGAAAGACAAAACTAGGAAAGAATAATCGGATGAAGGTAATGATGGCCAAAAAATTCTAAAATGAGTAACATTTCTGCACATAAGGTGGAGCTTGCTTTGAGTCTAAGCCTTTTTCTAAAGTTATAACAACAACAATAACACAGTATCAAACTGAAATTTCAGATTGAATTGAATCCAGATCCAATAAAGGTCGGCCACTACAAATAAGATTTTGTTTTTCTTTGGTGTGTTTATGTCACTGTTTCCAATAAATAGTTTCAAATGATAGTTTATTAATAGTTTAAAGCACTCTCATTTCCAGATGTGTTAGAATAGAATTCTCGTGTTTCTGTGCCAAAAAAGCTTCCGGTCATAAATTATTCATGAATCTCAGTATGTGTGTGGCATTAGAAAGCGGAAAACCAAACTATTATCATTTTTTTTAACAGTGAGATGAGCGAAAGCGAGTGAATAATAGGTGTCATTGGGATTCGGTGCATATTTTCTGCTGTTTCTTTTTGCACACACGGCTTTTTTTTCACAACGCAGACTTAATACAGAAAGCTTACCTGCCAGAAAAAAAAAAACATCAATAAAACAAAATCTGTCTTTTGTTCTTCTCTGTGTCTCGGAATCAAGGCTGATTAGAGAAAATAAGTGGTGCACTCGTTTGAACATCTGCTTTACGATGAACAGGTTAAAAAGCACTGAGACGTAAGTGCATTGTCCTATATTGAAAACTAAACTGGAGAAAGACTTTCAAATGATATACAGTACCTGGGAATGTATTAATATAGGTCATGATAATCTTTAGGACTGGTACTAGGTTATCAATTACTCACAACTAATCAGTTATTTAAATAGATGTCAACTAGTTCAGTAATAGTTTGAATAGTTTATTTGACCTTACATAGTCTCAAACATGCTGACCAGAGTTTTCAGCAATATAGAGAGATTTGTTTTTTATTATTTCAAGTTGTGATATATAGATGTGTGTTCCCCATTCCTACGGTTCTGTAGCCTACAAAAACTACACAAAAATAAACCTTGATAACAAAATAAAAGTACCCTGTGGAATTGATCCTATACAGTCACTTGTTTGTGTCCTTCTAAAAGTTATGATTTCTGATTTTCCACAGCATGGTATTAACCCATTCAGTCACTATTTTTTTTAGCTTTTGAGCAGTAAGAATAGTTTTAAAACATACTGAGGTACTTCCCATACAACGATTCCCTTCCATTTTCATTCAAGAGACTAACGTCTGCAGGTGAACCGACCAAAAGTTCATCAGAAACCTTTCAAGAACTTTCCTTTTTCCTAATCCCAAGCAATATTTTCAAGTTTTCTTATGCTATTGTCAATGTGTTTTGTTACAGTTGTGCTTGAAAGTTTACACATTCAACTAAAGATAATGAATAAACTGTTTTTTGGGGTTGTGCAAAGCCGTTTAATGTCAAATAAACAAGGTTTAGGTCAGAGATATTTTTGCCATTTGCATTAAAACGACATTGGAATACATGTGTAAATTTACCCCAGTGTGTACTAGGCAAGTACAGTACAGACAGCAAGATAAAAAAAAAGTTGTCACAATTGTCTCTCTGAAACCAATCAAGAACAACAAAAACAGTTTAAAAAACAATTTCAAGATTTTTAAAGTGCTTTGTTAAAACTGATAACAGCTTGGGAAGAAGCTGTTAGCATATCGAGATGTCATGTATCTTGACGAATTATATGTTCCGCCAAAGGGAAGAAGCTGGAACATGGCCTTTCCAGGGGCCAGAAGAGTCATGATTATTCTAAGAGCTCAATTTAAGAGTTTGGATCGACAAGAACCTCGACAAAAGACAGCTCGCTGTCTTCTTTCAGAGCAGAGCACCTCTGTCTGGTCTCTCTGTCTGGGGTCTCTCTCTCTGGTCTCTCTCTATCTATGGTCTGTCTCTCTAGTCTCTCTCAGGTCTGTCTCTCTGGTCTCTTTCTCTGGTCTCTCTTTCTGGTCTCTCTCCCTGCTTTCTCTCTCTGGTCTCTCTTTCTGTTATATTTACGAAAATATTGAAATTGAGCCTTCCAAACGTGATAGGTGTTGCTGCGATGTGACCTTTTGCGAGTTAATCCAGAGATTACCAGTCACCTGTAGCTCTGTGCATCTAAATCCTGATCCGTGTCCCACGAATATTAGTTTGCGTGCATCCGTGCATCTGCGACAATACAATTTTAATTGCTTTTCCTTATCTTTCCCAACAAACTCACTCGTTGGTGAGCGATGGAAGTTCAAGCCATCATGCAAATATAAAGGGAATGTAGTCTTGTCTCCTCACTTGCCTTTTTGTTCTTGTCGTAATTTAAATCATAATTATTCTGTACATTTGTTTATGTTCTGTGGAATGTTATCCGCAATTTAAATCTGCACTGAAGAGACTTTAATATTTGGGGCCTTTTATGTTTGAAAAGACACATTTGACAAGCAGAATTATTTCTCAGATGTTGAGACATTGTTATTTGCATATGTCCGTGAGCTTTCACTTTCGACTAATAAGAATTAAGAATTGCTGATGCAGGAGGGTCTAAGGACAGAGATGATCCAAAACATTTTAGGACATTTATGTTCATATTTGAACATTAATCAACATTGGTCACTCACCCCCTATGGACTAATTGCATGTCCTGTGTTCAAACTGTTTGATTCTTTGATCTTTTGTTAGTGTTAGGGTTAGGGTCGACACCTTCCAAGTTTTCCAAGATAACTGCTCTTGAGATGTTGTGATTTAGGACTATACAATAACGCATTGAAATGAATTGTAGAATTGAATTGTGTAATTGTTGGCTTCTCACAACTACTGACAATTTCATTTATATGCAAGCTGGGGTACCTATAAGTAAGTAAGTAGTATGTAAGTAAGTAATCTTCATTTATACACCGCCTTTTCACTGCACATCGGAGTCTCAAAGCAGTTTACAATTGTGATTTTTGGGAGTGGGGGTGCCAGTACAGGAGGCACATGCCAGACCTATTGTACATATTTTTAGTGGTAGGGGAAACCGGAGCACCCGGAGGAAACCTACCTACCAGGATTCGAACCCAGGACCTTCTTGCTGAGAGGCGAGAGCGCTATCCACTCAGCCACCGTGCCGCCCAACAGCAACAGAAAGACAGAGACCCTGTAAGTCATTATAAACTCTGGGCTGAGAGCTGATTGCGTTTGGGTCAGGGTGGTCTTCTTTATGTCCTTGAGTCTTTCTGATCTGATCTAAAGCTTTGACAGACACCAAGAATACATGTGTGTGCAAACAAATGATAAAACTCCAGAAACCTTGGATCATATTACTTATAGCATCTCATGTTTCGTTTATGGTTTGAAAGTTCCCAGCTTCATTAGCATGGTCTAGGTTTTACAGCCTCTCAAAAACCAGTCCACGCTTAACATTTCAAAGCAGCTTCTTGACAGCTAAAAACCAAAGCATCTTGACTAAAACCATCGTTGTTGCATGTCACTATGGATTTCCATGTTCCACTTCAACATCGGAGACTGTTCTGACATTGATTCACACATGACTGGCAGCACTCAACTTTTCACACCGGACCTGCTTTTATTACAATTCATGCTCGGCCAATAGGGAATAGAATATTATGGCCATGGTGCAAGAAAAGGCCAGGAAAGAACGGATATGTGAAATTCATGTTGTACCTATTAGGAAGGCACCAATATGGTTTTTTCTTTGCCGAATACGACCTTATCTTGTGCTTTCTGAACTGCCGTGTCGGATCCTCATTCCTCAGCCATAGAGCTATGTCTGATGTAAAACTGAAAGAAGGAGAGGCGTATTTCTCCCATAAAACTCCTGGTTATAGGACTCTCCTTGCTGAGGTCTTTAAAGAGTAAACTTAACTTAGTTTCCTTGGACTCCTTAATGCGTCTCTACCTTTTAAATACCTGGCCCTGTTTTGTTGAATTGTTTTTGTTAAGCACATTGAGCTACACATGTGGGAATGGACTATTTAAATAAATGGGTTCTGTCCTGAATACTTTGGCTTTTATATCCACTTTTGTTATGAGTTTGATATCCTGCATCTAACTGCTCAAATGTTGTGTTGTGTTGCAGGTGGTAGTCCATTAAAACTCCCATTAAATTCAATCATTGGCACAATTTGTACTATATCATTTTTATTTTATTCCACACTTTTTTTTAACTGATATATCTTGCAATACCAGACAATACAATAACGGCAATAACGTTTCAAAAGGGGTTGGAAGAAGCAAGCTCTGATTATACCTCAACCTCTCACTCACTGATTCACACAACACAAAACACACACACACACACAACACAACACATACAACACAACACACACAGAGACATACACAAAGGCCACACTAAAAACTCTCTGACCATACAACTCTCCCACTACTCCCTTCCTCCACATACTTAAGTACTTTATGTTTTACTTATTCGTACAGTATACTGAACAAAACAACGGCTGCGAACTGTTTCGGGTATTGTAAACATATATTTGAACGTACAGTATGCCGGATAATCAAACAGATTTATCGAACTCTCCATCACCCATAACACCAAGAAAAGTCACAAAAAAGTCAAAATACTACTGTACATCCACTTTCTGTAACCAACATTTTCTTTGTGTTTCTCCAGGGAAGCTTTGTGGCGGCCATGACTGCGACTCTGAGGCAGATGGACGACTATCATTACAGCCATCTGATCGGAACCTTTGGGAAGATAAGGAGCGATGTGGTGGTGAGTTCTGCTTATCGCCGCGCCGATGTCGGAAAGATCCAACCGACTCTTTGTAGAATCCCACTCACTGTTCAGATATACTGCTGAGAATGACGCTTTTCCACTTCCAACAACCTCTATCAGACATTTCATTTATACTTTTACTTTGTTGCTTTCTCAATATTATCATGAATGTTCCCATCTCAAAAAGGGATACAAAAATTATATAATGTCCAAACCTAGTTCGAATCAATGACACAAGTCTCACTTACTGCTAGAGGCACTAGGTTACCAGAACAATAAATAAATGCCGTGCAAAAGTGCAACTAGCTAGTAATGTTATTCTTTTACTGGTTGAAAATGATCTTTTTTGTTGTGTTTTTTTTCCCATGTCCCTGCTCCACAAAATGGCATGCTCCCGACTTATTTCCACATATCAAAAGCGAGATTAGTTCTGTGACTCAATTCTATTTTCCCTTTCAACTGACGAAACAGAAGCAGATTGTCTGGCACGACGCCCGTAGCATGCTCTCCGTGATGAGTCCTATGAGAGGCACATCAGTCTCTGCCAAAAACAATGATCGAGAACAAGAAAAGCCCCATTCATCCTGTGTCCAATTGCTCAGGGATAATAATTAATGCCATTTTTACACTTTTTTGATGGATCTCAATCAGATGTTTTGGATTTTTTTTCCCCTGTATAATTCAAAAGGCTTTCTCTATGTAGATGACATGAGCGGATACAGAATATATATTTCTCTCATCTGACTATTTCAACCCAACATCAATGCAATTCAATTTAATTTTGTATTGCTCTAAATCCAACAGCAGTTGTCGGGAAGACTCGCTCAGCCAATGAGTCGGAAAGTTACAACAGATCTAAGAATTAAATATTTTGAATACAGGAAAGGCAACAATAATAAACACATAGGGAGCAGGATGACTTACGTTTTAATAAATGTTAATAAATGTCCATAAATGTTCCCGAGATATTGAGAGAGTCTATAGATCCGGGACTTGTGTGTTTCCAAATTGTCTCTTGCATGCAAGTGGTTCTATTGCACCACAGCAAATGTTACTGCATAATGTTAAATTACTTAAATCTTGAATTTTTTTCTTCATCATCAAGCAACCTCTTAGGTTAGAAAAAAAAATGGATTTACTCAATGATCGAATTCAAATGTTTTTAAACTGATTAACCCTTAAGACAAAAGGTGGAGTCCTGAAACTTTATAAAGGGTAGAGGATTACTTTAAACGACAACATAAATATATACAATAAAAATGTTATAAGAAATTCTATCACTGTTACATCTTCCAAATCAAAAATAAATTCTTTAACTACTCAAGAACACTTATATCTGGATAAACAACCTGTGTCCAAGTCGCTACAAGCATTACAGTACCAAACATATATTTGTTTCGTGTTGTGCTTGTTTTCCCTGGGGATGAATAAATCTACATTCACAAAAACGTCCTGGAAAATTGCCAAGTACAGTTCCTGGTCTTCTCCGACATATTATTGTCAATTCAAATCGGTCTCGGTAAATTGCTAGGTAGACTCCGTTTGCAGTTTAACAGCCACCGACCAAGGAGTTTTCCAGAGAAAGAAAGATAGTTGTTGTTTTTTTATGTGAATGGTGAATTGGTTTGTTCAAATTACCATTTTAGCTTCACTCACATACGGTTTGAAATGTATGGAACTTTATTCAAAAACACACAATTTAGTCAAGGCTGCTTTGCAACACAATGGTTAGTCACACAATGTCTCCTACAATCTTCAGGGGACATTTCTTACTGTATGAGTTTGTTTTTTTGGTTTCATTTAGATCCCAATTTTTATACTGTAATAAAGCTAATGGGAAAATACAGTAGCTAGTCTTCCTGGGACCTATGTACTCATCAATGTCACAAAAATGAATGTACAAACAAAAGTACAGATGTCTCAAAAGTACAGAAATGTTCTAATAAAAATACACCATAAACCCAGACACACACACACACACACTTCTACATTACATTCTAAACATTCAACTATATATACAACTGGGAAATAAAAAGATCTCATACATTTTTTTGTACATGATTTTCATGTACAGATATACATTTTCATACAGATATAGACAGTTTCATGATTGAGTCGGATTGATATTGTCCAACTCATTTGCTCTATGTTTTACTTTTGATTCGAGTCAAACAGGAAGACTTTTTTGTTTTCCTCTTGATTTTTTTTCCTATTGATCCCAATTTCTGATTCCCTAGAGAGAGAGAGACATTTTTTGAAGACCTGTTCAGACCCGCCCATCTTTGAAATACAAACTGTATAAAAACAAATATATCTTGCAGGATTTTCTCATGGAGACGTTCATCATGTTCAAGAACCTGATTGGAGAAAACGTCTACCCTTCAGACTGGATCATCATGAACATGATGCAGAACAAGTGAGTACGAGTACAGCTGTCTATCGGCTTATTGTTCAGAACAGGAGGGATTCAAGGTTTCATGTGCGGTTTTCTGGCAGTGATTGGCAACTGTTTTATTGTTTTCTGTAATCCATTGAGCATATTTAAACAAATCAAATAATAGTTTGTTTTAACTCCATCAATGCAATTTTCAGAAAATTGATATATCCTTACACAAATATCCCCCTGTTAAAGTTTTGCATTTAAATCAGTCTAGGGAATATCCTCAGTCAAAATACAAACTTTCCATTAGACAAATCCCCTTAATATCCTTTCTCTTCTACTTAAAGCTGGGGTACTTACCTTTCTCAAAGACCTCTCTATTGTACCGCTGGGGGAAATTGGTTTTGCAGCAAGCCAAATTGTACAAACAATTCCAATGAAATCAGAGCGAGTTTAAGCCAACTGAAAATATACTGTAAAGGGTACTATATTAATAGTTTGTAGTAAAAATAGTTTTTATAAAGTGCTAAATGCTGTTAAGGTGCTGCACACCTGTTGGGATATACTTTATGTAGTTTATTTTCATAAATTATACAGCTGGGACAAACAAAACTCTCCATCTTATTAGAAAACATTATTTTTAGAACACTACTATTTGACCCTGCGCTGAGAGATCGTTGGCTCAGTGAGGCTGGTCCTTTCTATTTCACTTTCCTGTCTAAAAAAACACCAAAAACACCTTTATGTGAAAACTCGTCATTAACAATCATGTTTTAAGAAATAAGATTGAAAATATTACACAAGAATAACAATTGTAAACCGCTTTGTGACTCTGGTCTGTGAAAGGCGGTAAATAAATCAAGATTACTTACTTACTCACTTACATAGTTCCAATGTTGGTTTTAAAGTTGAGCACCCCATCTTTGAGACACAATTTTAAATCATGTAGTATTGAAGTAATTATTATCAAGATTTTAAAGTGCCAAAAATTAATTCAGGGGTAGGCTTGACTGAAAACAATATGTATTTCAGATTATGTTTATTAGTTGAATATTTGTTTCCTCCCATTCCTTTAATAATGTTATTGCTAAACTGTCATCATTGTCAAAAAACAATAACTTAGATGGCAGACCTCCCACTACACACGTTCTTTGATGACTTTAGTAGAGATTTCTTCCCACTCGGTCCTTCCTCCATGACTTCTCCTCTTCCACCACATTCATAGAACAATATCTCCGCTTTTGAACACTTCACATTTGTTGCTTGGAAACTGCAGCCAGGAGTGACTATGGACTTTTTCTCCGGTGGTATTCTCTCCATGCAAATATCTAAACAAGGCTCCAGCCGAGCAGCAATCAGATGAGCAGTCAGCAAAACAATCCCATGAATTATAGATGGCACAGCGCTAATCTACAAACCTACTCCCTGCGTCTCTTGATTTTGCACTTGTCAAAGCGTTTTATTGATGGCAGCATCTTTTGGATCCTCTTTTGTTAAGTGTAAGAAGAGGTGACGTTTGCCTCGCACTGCAGTTTGTGTCAAGGAGAGCAAAGATGGAGACTACTTTATTGAAATGTCTTTTGAGTCGAGGTGTGTGTTAGAAATGATATGGGTTCTGTATTCGAGCAGTTTTAAAGCTGGGGGGTAACTCACTTTGAAAACCACAAACCAACTAGGACGAGAAATCCATGTATTTTCTAGGTTTTCAAATGTCTGACGACAAAATTCCACTTACAGTATGGTGACCAGCTTCTATAGCTAAACTGAAACTGATCCATTGGGCTGTGATTATCAAGGTTCAAGAGGACTTTATTTGTACCCATGGGCAGGTTTTTGCAGAGCGACTACACAAAAATTTTCATAAAAATCACATTTACACATATAACAATAAAAACACAACAGATGAGTAAAGAAAATTTGGTAACAATGGTCAACAGGTGCTTAGTCAGGACTCCAGAACTCATTTCTGAGTAAAAACCCAAGATAAGAAATACAGTGCAACGTGCCGCTGTGGAAACTACATGTATTTTCCCCATCATTAAACCATCTCGGGCATATTAGCTTTTATGGAGCCTAGTGAGTATTCTGGAAGCCAGCCCAAATCTCAGTCAGGCTCGGTGTCTTGTGAGAAAATGTTATGTCACTGCTTACGTTACTGTTGCTCATCTGAACATCTATCTGCTTTTGTATAATGTGAATTTTGTAATGTATGTGTTTTAATTGTGTTAAAAGCCCTCCTAGGGACGCACATTGCAAACTAGCCTTGGCTATAAATGTTGTAGTGTTTCACATGTTGATTGTGTACGCTTGTCCCTATCAAATAAATCAATACATTAAATAAATAAAAATAAAGCCATCCCCCGGAAAATCTGATTGGTCCGGTAGGGTCTTGTCCGGACATAGTTCCACCTCAACGTAATAGTACCAGACCAAACTTCTTTCCACAGTCATTACAGGGCCCAAGTTTGGTTGTATCTAGGCTCTTTCTATTGGTTCATCAGTAAAACTATGGTTCCTATTGGATCAGGAGACTGTCCTATTAAAGGAGACGCAAACAGACGCTTTACAAGCCTTGTATAATGATTTGATTTGGCTAAAATTCTCTACAACATGGGTGTCGAAGTCTAGGCCCGGGGTCAGATACGGCCCGCAAATGCATTATCTTGGCCCCCTGGATGATTTTTGATTAGTATTACACAAAGCCTTAAGAACATATTCAATTATTAATTCAATATTTAGGACATGTGTTTTCTCTTTGAAGGAAGTTTGTTTTTGTCTGTGAGCCTATTGAAAAATGTACAGACAAAGCCAAAATTGGATTATTCATTTAATCATGAAATAAAATATGGTACACTTCCTGACGGACAGGAAGCAGCGAGTGCGTCTGGGGAAGAATGTCTCGGACTCTCGGATTATAAATACAGGAGTCCCACAGGAGTCTGCTCTGCAGAGGAAGTGATCGGCCGCAGACTTCCATCGCTGCAGGACCTATACGTCGCCCGAGCTCGAGGCCGGGCTGGTCGTATCACAGCCGACCCCTCTCACCCTGCACATGGACTATTCCAACCACTCCCCTCAGGCAGGAGACTGCGGTCCATCAGGACTAGAACCTCCCGCCACAAGAACAGTTTCTTCCCCTCTGCTGTTGGACTCTTGAACACTTCTTTCCCTGTCCCCCCGCCCTTTATAAAGTCACTTTACTGCCCATCATACGTCACTTTACTTCACTGTACTGCTGTCACCTTACATTGTGTGAACCATGTGCATTTGTATATTGTAAATAGTAACTGTAACTCTATTTTAAATTTAAATTTATTCTTTAGAAGTGTTTTTTATTCTTATTTTTATTATCTCTTTCTGCACTGAGCCAAAGCAATTTCCAAGTCTGTGACCTCCTGTTACTTACGTGGCAATAAAAATTATTCTGATTCTGATTCTGATTCTAATACTTTATTAGGTGTTGGTTCAGTTGATTACATCCAATCCTTTTAATATATTTTAATGAACATTGAACCAGTCTGGCCCTTGGCGTGGCCCTCTGATGTATTTGACCTTGACATTCCTGCTCTGCACTATCCAGTCCGGTATTCCCTGCATCATTGATTCTTTTGTCTATTCTATGCCTACTCTGTCCATCTTATATCCTACAGACCAACCATGTATGAGCATTTTTGGTTAATTCAGGACAAAGGCTTCTCAGTGCTCCTGTCTTTGTCCAATCCGTCACAGACAGACCTGGGCTGCCTCTACATCAACTTTATTATCCTATTTCTGGTTGGCAGATATTAATTGCGCATTCACGTCAGCACATTCACCTTTTTAAAGTTGGGTCATTGTTTAACTTCGACATTTAGCTTGTCAAAATGTGTTTTAGCTTCTCTTTGCATTGGCAGTCTGTTTGAAAATTGTAGGTGTCCGCCATTATCTCTGCCGTTCATTAGCCTAACTCCCCCATGTTTGATCAGTCGTCTGCTAGCTCTACAGTGACAGCTCAGTCCAGCCGGGACTCTTGTAGCTCTAAGTGCATTGCTCTCATAAAATAGTACATTTTCATCTGAAGTATTGTGGTTTCATAAAGTGGGAAAAGATATACCTTTGCGGTTTTCTAAAGGTTCCCAAATGTCACTGGTAAAACAAAAACACTATTACTAAATATTTCTGTTTTTTAGAAGTCTTTGGGCAAGACACTTCACTTCACTTTGCCTGAAGCACCAGCTGGATAATCAAGGTCACTCAGAGCAAAGCAGCCTGTGGACATTTTACTAACCCTAACAACCTGCTCAGGGACTACAAGTGTAAATTAGCACTGCTGCTACAATCTGGTACAATGCATCTCTCCTCTTGGCTATGTTTATTGTGCACTGTCCTTGTAAAAAAAAAAAAAAATCATATCCAATCATACGCTCCACCTGCAGAAGGATCAGAGAGGGCCGGTGGATTGATGGATTTATCAATATCTTTCATCACTCTATTCATCGACTTGAGCTTTGGTGTCACAATGTGGTGCTGGACAGGCTTCGGGGCCTGTATCGAATCAGATTCCAAAAGAACTGTTCAAATATCTACAGTCACAGAAATATTGAGCCCAACTCCAAGGTGTATTTAATGGATGTGATAAAGACACACTCACACCACAAAATAAACCATCTTTGATTAATATCCATGGGTGTCAAGTTTGAAGCTTGAAGTCTTTGAAGTCTTTATTTATTTTTTGCGGAAATATGAATCCGGCCGAACTGTGACTTTTTTTTTTTTCTCCGAGACCTCTGGTTGCCCCTGGTTACTGGATGCTTTTATTTGAACAAATTGTTGAATGCGAAGTTGGTCTGAATCTTCTTATGCAATTTCATAGATTTTGTTATTGATTTTGGTTTATTACATGAGAATAAATAAAACATATGTGTTTAATTCAAATAAATACACTAAATATAGTTGGTTTGTAGTACATATACTTAACTTTTGTTTTATAATAAATATATAACAAAAGTTTGTATTGTAACCCTTAGATTGGAATAGAATTTCTTTATCAATGAAAT